ACTCCCGAACGTTCGGGACTTACCAGCGAGGGGACGTCGACACCGTCCTTCTGGTGGCCACGGCCCATGGCGAAGTACTCATCGAGCTTGTGCAGCGAGTGCTTGGAGTAGCGCTCTGGGATAGCCTAGTCTTGTTAGTCGACTGCAGCGGGTATTGGATGACGTGTGCTTACGTTGAAGAGCTGGATGTGGTCGAGGAGGTGGTCGTAGAAGGCGAAGTCGTTGCTAGGAATGACATCGACGCCGGCGTCCTTCTGGATCTTCCAGTGCTCCAATCGCAGACGCTTGCCCTCCTTGATCAGGTCATCGCGCGAGAGCTTGTCCGCCCAGTAGGCCTCGTTGGCCTTCTTGAGCTCACGGTCCGCACCCATGCGGGGGAAACCGAGTACTGAAGAGTGTACCATTGTGATGTGATTGTCCGATGCGGACAACTGTGGTGATTGGGGGGGAATGGGTAGAATGTGATGGAGAGGAGGGGGAAGAGGTGAGGGAGGAAAGTGGGATGTAGGAGGAAGAGTGGTAGCGGATGGTGTGCTTTATGTTTTTTGCTGGCGTATGCAGCAACGTCGCGGGGTTGGCGCCTACGTGGCTCCGATTCGACGGTGCACTCACCGCCCTCAACTTTATTCTGCAACGGCGAGAACAATCCGCCGTTCGTCAGGGCTTCCCTCAATCTACGCAGTGTGGAGCGATTATCTTGGACTATCCTGCTACTCTAGCGCTCCCATGCCCACAGCTATCGCGCACTAGCTCTGCTAATGCTAACTTTTCCCCAAAGCGACATCGGCGGAGGGGCGCTCGGAGCCTTGGCGGTGACGAGCTTGCGCAACTTGAAGCGTGTCCGGTGAGAACTCGAATGTTTCCACAGCACAGGGACGAGGCGCCCTGTAAAGATTCACGCAGGAACGATCCCTTCTCGACTGGGTGTTGCGTATTGGCCATGGCTAACACGTCGTCCATGACAGCATGAATCAGCTCCGCGCCAGCTCTTAGCGGGTTCTGCCTCTCAACAGGCATCTTCTGGGTTAGCTCAGACCCTGAAGATCATCGACATCGGGACAATGCCATCTACTCGTCTCGAGCAGAACACCAAGGCGGCATGCGAGTCAGGTGCCATCGGTGGTTTGTACTGCAGTGCTTCTCACGATGGTCGGTAAATGTCCGAGCGAAGGGTTCACGACGAGGCGGCGGAACCACCGAGTACTTGCCTTATTTAGCTGTCTCCACAACCCCGCATCGTGTATAAAACCCCGCCATCAACAAGCCAAGTAGATGATAGCAAGCGCAACAACCCCCCGAGCCAGTGAAACACACACGGATAATATCTACACGCATATCAAAATGGCTTCAAGACCGACTCACACCCGAACCGCCTCCACAAACCTGGCCGGTGGTTCAGGCCAGCGCGTGCTGGAGGGAAGGAATGCCATCATCACCGGAGCGTCGAGAGGTAGATACGCAGCGACCCGAGCGCCATGAGCACAACATACCCGTCAGATTCTGACTAACACCCCCAGGCATCGGCGTAGAAATCGCCCGCAACCTCGCCAGCAAAGGCTGCAACGTAGTAATAAACTACACCTCCGACTCCTCGTCCAAGACCGCCGAAGACCTCGCCTCCGAACTCTCCGCCGAATATGGTATAAAAGCCATCAGCGTCCAAGCGAGCATGGGCTCTGAAAACGGCCCCGCCCACCTCGTCGAAGTAACCAAGAACAACTTCCAGCACCCCAAGACGGGCAAGTTCCAACTCGACATCATCATCAACAACGCGGGCGTCGCTGGAAACAACTATGTTGAGAACGTTGACTGCGAGGACTTTGCTAGGCAGTTCAATATCAATGTACGGGGGCCGTTGCTGCTGGTGAAGGCGGCGACACAATACTTGCCGAATGATCGATCCGGCCGTATCGTCAATCTCAGCTCTGTGAGTTCGAGCCTGGGATACAAAGGCCAGTCTATCTATGGTGGCACAAAGGCAGCGCTGGAGAGCATGACGAGGACGTGGTCAAGGGAGTTGGCGGAGCGCTGCACGGTTAATGCGATTAACCCCGGGCCTGTCGCTACGGACATGTACTGGAGTAACGACGACGCGTTTATTGCGCAGAACAAGCCGTTTATCGAGAATACGCCGCTTGCGGCGCCAAGGAAGGGGATTGATCCGGAGAGGATCTATGAGGCGAGTCAGGGTGCGGGCGGAAGACCAGGTTACAGTGAGGAGATTGGGGGTGTGGTGGGGATGCTGTGTTTGCCTGAGGCGGGATGGACTACTGGGAGTGTGATTTGTGCGAATGGTGGCATGAAGTTCAGCTTCTAGGCATCGGTGGGGATAACGAGGACACCAAAGAAAACAAGACAGATATGATATCAACCCAAACGTATTCTTTACCTGTTTTCCAGCCTACCGTGCATGCGTAACACTCTGCCGTACTTCCCCCTTCCCTCCCTCCCAAACCTCACTCTCAATAACCACACTCGACGTCTTTCTAATCACCCCACTTCCATCTTCTCTCACGACAATTCCTCGTTCAGAATCCCTATCACACATCCACCCCGCTCCCATCCTCTCCTCGCTTCCCACACTAACCCCGTCATCATCCACACATTCGTACACATTCGTCTTTGCAATCCTCGAACCAATGGTCTCGAGCTCGGATTGATGCTGCGAGTCATCCGCATCATGCCCTCCTACACTACGACTTTGTTTGGTACCGCGACTGCGACTCCGGTTCCGACTACTGCGTAAAGTAGATTCGCCGATGAGGTGGGGGGCGACGTGGCGGAAGAAGAGGCGCATGGTGGGGAGGCAGCCGGTTATTATGACGAGGTTGGCTTCGATGAGACTGGTAGGAAGGACAAATTAGCGACGTAGCCCGGATAAGATGCAAGGAGGCCTGCTTTGGGAATTGTGTAATGAAGGCTTGGAAATGGGTGGACTTACATCCAGATACCCGGCATGACGATCGCCCAGGTCTGATCGATAGTTTGAAGCATGGGAAAGAGGAGGGCGAGACGGACGCCGCTTGTTATACACGTCCTGTTATTCCTGTCAGCTTTGTCGCCTCTCATCACTCAACCGCGCTCGTCTGGATTAGGGTCGTACTCACAGCGAGCCCACCCCAAAAATACATATCAACCCCATCTTCTGCGCGCGCGGCATCTGCAATCTAACCACCATCGGCACCGGCAGAACTAGCAACAAGATATCCGTAGCCATATTCAACACCGCCGTCGCCATATAAAGCGGCGTCCTATCAATACAACTTCCCTCCGTGATGGTAACATCCCAGTTCCGTCGGAAAGGCGTACAGGCGAAGATGAGTGGGAAGACGAGCGCGATGTTGTAGCCGACTACGAGGAACATGCTTGCGTAGACACATGATTTGAACCAGCGGAGGTGGGATAGTCGGAGGTAGAAGAAGAGAAGGGAGAGTTTGGCGCTGGCGAGGAAGGGGCAGTAGATGATGCTTGCTACGCTGATCAACTGTTGGGGGGTTAGTCGGGGTTGCTGAGAGGGGTCAATGGGTGGTGCTTACGTTCATGGTGGAATTGACGCGGTGGCCGGTTAGTTCCCAGATGTGGACGCCGAGAGTGCCGCGGCCGTATTGGACTGCTGGGTGATTAGATATGGGATGGTGGAGATGGATCCTGGTTGACGTACAGAGGATGGGAACTTGTATTGCGATGGAGAAGCACTGTTGGTTTGATTGTTAGCACGATTTGTCGAACATGCAATCTTTTTCAAGCTGCAATGCGACGCACCCATGCTATGAGCAGCGCTACTGTAGATGTTGTCAGAAGCTAAACGTAATGCTTTCGGCTTTTACCGATCTTGGCCAGAACTTAAGAGCTTACTATCGTCTGGTGTGAAGTTCTTTGCTAGTCTCGTCTTCGTGTAGACGCGTATAGCCATGAAGATGGCGGCAACGATCATGCCCAATGTACCAATCCAGAAGTTGGCAGCTTCGCCCGTTCTCTGGGGGTTATCGACATCGACGATGTATCCAGGCGGTGCCGTAAAGATGGGCTTGTTCATGTCCATGATGCAAATATGTGGAGAAAGTGTGCGTCCTGCTGATCAGCGAAGCTGTTGTGTGTCTATATGTTCCAATTCGAATTCTCGTCCCCTTCATCCGGGTCCTCGCAATCCGTCATTTCTTGCTTTGGTCGAACGACATACTCAACATGCAACCATGTTCCATGTCACATGAAATCCTGCTGTTGACTGTGATGGTCAGTGATAGCGCACAAGCAATGTCACTGTATACGCCGCATCGCTTAGGCAGTGAGGCTCACACATGCAGCAAGAGATTGGCCTGGAGTACTGCACCGCCTACCAAGAACTTGGTCAGTATACCTGTGCCACTCCACTGCATCGGAATCATGACTCTGCATTGCAATAACGGCGCGGATGTCTTCCTGTCTGGCGGAAGTTTGGGGTGAGCATAATCATGCCAAGGATGTGGCGTTCATAGTCTTGGTAATCCCTTAGGCATCGCATCCATCAGTGTGGTCAAACGAGGTCTCCGAAGCGTCTGTTGATGATCCTTTGTAAAGCGACTGTGCCTCGTTTCCAGCTCTCCGCGGTCCGCTCCCAGGGTCCCGGATGATCCGCAAATTAACTTCTTGTGCCGAGCCGTGTGTAAAGTGATCTCGAACCTATGGAGAGGCATGCGTTCATTGACCCCTGCAAGCCACCTTTTAGCGAACAAATCGAAGGCATTGCCGCTTCGCTGCCGAAGGGTGTATAGCCTTCGCGGCACAAGTCCAACGCCACATTGCGTTCGGTTCTGGAAGCAATGTTGGCATCCTTCGAGCATCCAGCTTCATCTCATCTGTCGAGTCATTGCTGAGCAGGAATTGCGCATCCTTGTTGAGGATATCCGCTCAACCTGTTGAGAGATATGAGCGAGTAGAAAAGCGTGCCCCAGCCTGCTTCAAAGTTTCGATCATCGAGTGTTCCTTGTGATATCTCTCCATCTATTGAGCTCCTTATCACCATGACTCGTTTGTCCCTTACCTTACTTGCGGCAGCGGCTGTCATCCCATTCGCCCATGCTGACTATTGCGTGAGGCTGCCCCCTAATTCCCTTCTGTTCGAAACGTCTGCTAACACCAACAGTGCTCCGCTCTTGCACTCACCTCCCTGAAGAGTCGGCTGCTATACCCTGGTCAAGATGCGTACGAGACACGGGAAGATTCCTACTTCGATGTGAAGCAGCAGGTCATCACACCCAACTGCATTGTCCAGCCCAAGACCGCAAAAGAAGTCGCCCTTGCTGTCAAGACCCTCACAGCCGCTAGTCGGCTGAAGTCATGCAAGTTTGCGATTCGTAGTGGTGGACACACGCCATACGTCGGAGCCTCAAACATTGAGGATGGCGTAACACTTGACTTGCACTATCTCAGCACCGTTGAGTATGATGCTAAGAAGGCTCTGGTCAAGGTCGGTCCTGCGGCAACATGGAACGACGTATACGACACTCTGGAACCACTGAACGCGATGACGAGTGGTGGACGCTCGTCCACAGTTGGCGTCGGTGGTCTTACGCTCGGCGGTGGGATCTCCTACTTCTCGCCGGGGCGGGGTCTGGTTTGCGACAACGTCATCGAGTTCGAAGTCGTTCTTGCTGACGGTCGTATCGTGACCGCGTCCAAGACTTCGCATCCAGATCTCTTTGCTGTCCTCAAGGGTGGCAACAACAACTTCGGCATCGTTACTAGCTTCAAATTCGGCACTTTCGACTACGCCGGCATGTGGGGTGGTCTCGTCATTTACCCAGAGTCGACCATTCAAGATCATTTCAAGGCCCTCATCAACTTCTCCAACAACATTGACAAGGAACCGAAGGGCTCAGCTATCGTTATGCCGGTGTATCAGAGCTCAGCGGGCGCCGATTTGATCCTGAACGCGTACGACTATGCCGAGCCGGTATCGAGACCCGCGGCTTACGATGAGTTTTTGGCAATTCCTGGCAACATCTCGGACTCCACGGGTATCAGGAACATGTCATCGCTGGCAGCGGAACTCGCGGGTGCTACTACACACAGGTAAGCTAGCCGCCATTGCTCTTGACAGATGCTGATCAAAACCTAGTGTATACTTTGGCACACTGACTTTCGCGAACGATCTTCGTGTCATGACCAAAGCCCATGAGATCTACATGGATGTGCTGTCCAACCTGAAGGCCAAGGCTACGGGTGACTGGCAGATCTATGTGCTCTACCAGCCCCTTCCGCCTTCGTACTGGAGGCAGAGCGCGTCCAAGGGCGGCAACATGCTGGGCTTGGAGCGCTTTGGTGAGCAGGTGCTGTGCCGTAAGTTGCTCTAGAATGCTGTAATGACTGTATGCTGATTAGTGATAATAGTATACCAACCCTACATCTCTTGGCAAGGCGCTGAGCAAGACGCGCTCTTCCAAGCCGCAGGCGCTGACCTTGTCAACGGAATCCGCGAGTATGCTGAAAGCATCGGTGCCGACAACCCATATCTCTACCTGAACTACGCAGACAACACACAAGATCCCCTCGCAAGCTATGGATCCGCTTCTGTGAAGAAGATGAAGGCTGCGGCAAAGGAATATGACCCTTCAGGTGTGTTCCAGAAGCTCGTGCCTGGTGGGTTCAAGATCTCGAAGGTTCAGTAGGTGATGGATATCTCTCCATAGAACGAATCGATAGCCACAAATGTGTCGGTGTGATAACAACATAACCATCTCGTTCCGGGAAGTGCGACTTTCGTTGTGAGCGACGTGCATACCGTTTTCGGATGGTGTCCCGATGTGTCAACGCCGCTATTGTGCTGAAGTCCAAACAAAAGAGTCTTGCGACACCTGGTCGCGTGATACAGAAAACGTTGACACGGTAGAGTTGAGGATGTTGGATGGAACCTGTTGTTGACGCGTTGGCGTCATGAAGGTTGCGATCGGAGGAAGGCAGGGTGGCAGGCAGGGGTGAAAGCCGGGGCCAGGTCTCGCTTGGCGGGCCCACCTCGGTCTCGCTAGCCATATCTGATGACGCGCATCCAACACGCGTGTTGTATCGCCCTTCGAGCTCCAAAACATCACGTAGCCTTCAACACCAGCCTCGTAGATTCGAGCAGCGCATGGCTTTTTGAGGCCGATTTCACAATATCACGCGCACTCCGATACGATGACAGAAGCAAGCGCTCTTGGTGACGTCTGTGTCATGATGCGGTTCGCGCCTCTCACGCGCCGTGATCCCTCCCCGCGCGATCAGTATGCTACTTGAGCTTCGAGCAACCTCTACCTCGCGAAAGCGCACGTTCTACCTGGCGGTATCGCGATCCTGTATAGAGCAATATCGGCATTGACGAACGCAACAATGCATGCTCCATGTGTGATGGGCGTCTCGGTGGGCAGTAGAATCCCAGCACTACTACATTTTCCATTCACACGTTGCTAACCACAGGCGATTGTCCGTGCATTTGCGGTTCATCAAAGGAGGAGGAACAACAATAGCTGATCTCACTATTTGTATGCACAATGGCTTACAGGTTCATACGACTGGATCTTCCTGCTTACCATCAAATCACAACCACTCAACCTAATTCACCCACAACATCCGAGTATGACTCCAGTTATACATGAGATCGACCCAGACGCGGATACGGTCATAATCTTACGATCACCGGGTGATGGTGAATACTTCGCTTGGTGGGATGATTCACCGTTCGACAACCTTGACATACTTGACCAACTCCCTTTCAGCATGACAGAATGGGACACAAAGATGACGATTTCGGACAATGTCGAAGTTCATCAACCGCCTGCGAGCACCTTCAGCATGAAGAGATTGGATTGGGTATTCCCTAGCGTTCCTGAGGGATCTATCCTTTACCTTGTCTCTTCACGCCACCTCAAACTGGCGTCACCGGTCTTCAAAGCAGCGCTCTCACCTGGTACCTGGAGTGAGGGATGCAAGAAGGCAGACGGTCGTTACCATATCACAGCAGACGATTGGGAGGAGGAAGCATTCCTCCTCTTCATGAACATGCTACACCTGCGCAGCCCTCAGATCCCGAAGTCCGTGAGCCTCGAACTAATGGCGAAGCTGGGAATCCTCGTCGACTATTACAACTGCGCCAGTGCGGTGGAATTCTTCACTGCGGTCTGGATGAACAAAATCTATGGCGAAAAGATGCAGGGTGAATACTGCCGCGAGTCGATACTGCTGCTTTGGGTTTTCTATCTCTTCGGGAGCAAAGATTGTTTCGATCTCCTGGTTGAGATAGTGACTATATACTGCAACGAGAGCAAACTACGCACCTTGGGTCTTCCGATACCCCAATCTTTGTCAGGTAAGTTAGCGATATAGTTCTGAAACACATATAGTATTCTAACTCGCGATAGATGAGATCGAACATCGGCGACATGAGCTTATCAACAAGAAGCTGTCATATCTGCATTATAAATTGACTATGAACTCCAAGCCGAATGAACATATGCCAGATAGATTGCGAGAGACACTGAGGCGAACGATCGGTGGGCAAAGACGTTCAAGCGGATATCCCTACCTTGAGGTCACTGTGGTAGCACTCACCAGGGTCCTTCTTGACTACTCTCAGGAGCAAGTGGAGGCTATACTCGAACTCGAAGCCACTCGTATCGAGTGGTTCCGCGCAAACGGCTTCGAGCTCTGCTGGAACAATGACGAGCTGAGCTATGAGTAGAGGACATTGAGGATCAGGTACGAGGATGCTACGCGTCTCGCGGAGCTTGGGGAACAAAGCTGTTCCTCACATATGTGGCTTATCGGCAGCATACACATCGGTACAATCTGCTGGAGGTTTTAGACTGGCAAGTCTCTGGAAGTAACGATAGAGTCAATGGAAGGCTACTACCGATGTCTTGATGTATGTCCCAGGGAGTTCGGTCCTCATAGGCGGGCCGTTCGCAAGATTAGTCTGGTGTTTATCCGCCCGATATTTGCGACGATCTCAGTTACGGTTCTTTCCAGGATGCAGGTGGCGGCGAAGATCATAGAAACCCAGATTGCTCGCAATTACCAAACGATCCAGGGAGATCTCGAATGCAGATGACATGCTCTAGAGACCAATACTACGTTGTTACCGGAAGGTGCTCGTATGTGCCTTGCATGAACTGTGGCCGAGGCAGTGGTCCGGTTATAACGCCAACCCAAGTGGGCGGCCCTAGCCCGGTGCTAACGAGCGCGCACAGAACAGGATCCACACGTCACAACCTGTCACAACCACTCAAGTGGGGTCATCGGTCATGTTATCGCAACGCCACGGCCAAAACAAGAAGGAGGTTATCCGGCACACAAGCCTTGTCAAGACCCCCAGTCCGAGGCTTGTCTTTCTTAGCCCCTTGCTTGGGTACTGTCGGTTCCATTCAACGCATCGCGTATGCGCACCACGACATGAGCGACAATCGCAATCTAAACTCCATGGGGTAGGTCGGTAATAACACGACTATCAATCATGCAGGGACTGAGGTCGACCGTGGGTGCGGTATAAAACTACAATGCAGTCCGCTGTTCGTTGTCTCTTCATCCGCATTCGCTTCGGACTACCTTCGCTCAAGGAAACCGGTTGTGGCAAAGATGGCTCCTGTGCTTTCATTCATCGTTGGCTCGTTGTTGGCTGTTAGGGCTTTCGCCGAGCCGTTTGAGAAGCTCTTCGAAGTTCCAGAGGGTGGGTTGTATGTCACGTCAAGCTTGGGTCTGTGCTAACGATCAACAGGATGGAAGCTTCAAGGCCCAGCATCTGATGCACACACGCTCAAGCTCCAGATCGCACTCACGCAAGGCGATACCGCGGGTTTTGAGCAGACCGTCATGGACATCTCCACACCGTCCAACCCAAAGTACGGCCAGCACTATGAGTCGCACGAGGAGATGAAGCGCATGCTTATGCCCAGCGAGGAGACCGTTTCGTCCGTCTCTTCGTGGCTCAAGTCTGCCGGTATCGAGAAGTTCGAGACCGATGCCGACTGGGTGACCTTCAGGACCACTGTCGGTGTTGCCAACGAGCTCCTCGGAACGAAGTTCTCTTGGTTCGTTAGCGAGGAGAGCACACCCCGCAAGGTTCTCCGTACCCTTGAGTACTCTGTCCCTGACGAGATTGCCGACCACATCAACCTCGTCCAGCCGACTACTCGCTTCGCTGCCATCCGTGCGAACCACGAGACTGAGCGTGAGATCTTCGGTATCCAGCTCGCTTCTTCCCCCAACATCACTGTCAACTGCGATGCTTCCATCACTCCCCAGTGCCTGAAGCAGCTCTACAAGATCGACTACACTCCCGACCCCAAGAGTGGTAGCAAGGCAGCGTTCGCTTCCTACCTCGAGGAGTACGCTCGCTACAGCGACCTGGCCCTCTTCGAGAAGAACATCCTTCCCGAGGCCGTTGGCCAGAACTTCTCCGTCGTCCAGTTCAACGGTGGTCTGAACGACCAGAACTCCAGCGACGACAGTGGCGAGGCCAACTTGGACTTGCAGTACATGCTCGGTCTTGCCCAGCCCCTGCCCGTCACCGAGTACAGCACCGGCGGCCGTGGCCCATGGGTCGCTGATCTCGACCAGCCTGACGAGGCCGACAGCGCCAACGAGCCCTACCTCGAGTTCCTCCAGAGCGTGCTCAAGCTCAAGCAGAAGGACCTTCCCCAGGTCATCTCCACTTCCTACGGTGAGAACGAGCAGAGCGTGCCCAAGTCATACGCTCTCAGCGTCTGCAACCTCTTCGCCCAGCTTGGTAGCCGTGGTGTCTCCGTCATCTTCTCCTCCGGTGACTCTGGTACTGGCTCTGCCTGCCTTTCTAACGACGGCAAGAACACGACCAAGTTCCAGCCCCAGGTAAGTTCTGACTGTACGAAGTGCATGTGAGACATATACTTACTTCGTAACCTCTGTAGTACCCTGCTGCCTGCCCATTCGTCACCTCCGTTGGCTCAACCCGCTACCTTAACGAGACTGCTACTTTCTTCTCTTCCGGCGGTTTCTCCGACTACTGGAAGCGTCCCTCGTACCAAGACGATGCCGTAAAGGCATACTTCCACCAGCTCGGCCAGAAGAACAAGCCCTACTTCAACCGTCACGGACGTGGATTCCCCGACGTCAGCGCTCAGGGCTTTGGCTACCGCGTCTACGACAAGGGTTCTCTCAAGGGCTACCAAGGAACCTCCTGCTCAGCCCCCGCCTTCGGTGGTATCGTCGCTCTTCTCAACGACGCCCGCCTTCGCGCCAAGAAGCCCGCTCTGGGTTTCTTGAACCCCCTGCTGTACTCTAACCCTGATGCGCTCAACGATATTGTTCTTGGTGGTAGCACTGGATGCGATGGCCATGCCCGCTTCAACGGCAAGCCCAACGGCAGCCCGGTTATCCCGTATGCTAGCTGGAACGCTACTGCGGGATGGGACCCGGTTTCTGGTCTCGGCACACCCAACTTCCCGAAGCTGCTTAAGGCTGCTATGCCCGCTAGGTATAAGGCTTAGATGAGCGAAAGAGATGTTTTGGAGAGTGTGCGATATGAATAGATTCGAATAACCTAAAATCGAAGCATTGAAGAACAACTACATTGACCAATCTTGAAGAACCGAGTGATGGACTGATAATGTGAGCTCCTCGTCCTGTCATGATGAAGACATCGGCAAACCCTTTCATGCAGGGTTCCAGATTACCCCAACTCTGCTGCTACTGTACGGCACACCTTCAGATCTGCAGGACCGTTCGTTCATCGTATCGGTGTTCTCGTGGAGGCATGCTGCACGCGTAAGCCTGGAGAGGGCGGGTGTGGTTACATAAGCGGAGCACGAGCCATCTCAGCCGCCGGATGACGTAGAAGCTTCGAGAAACATCGCGAAGCTTCACGCGTCTTCCTGACAAACCTCGAAGCATCACCAATCGTCGCGCGTCGTCCACACTGTTCCAGCATCGTCCTCGTCTTACGGAATCTGCATTGCTCATCACCGCGCACGCAATCGACTGCTGCCTGCGACGCCTCCACAATGGCTATAAATCCATGTCTTCCCGCTCTCCAAGAGCCCATCATCAATTCGAAAGACAAACACATCTACAGATCTACGATCTACAGCTACTCTTGAGCTTCACTACTCTACTACTCTATTCTCTCCATCGACCAACAAGCCTCGCTCCTCGGCCCAAGTACCCCAGCAATGGCGTTCATCCTCACTCCACGAATGGCACCCGCCTACGAGGCACAGCAGTGCAACCCCTTCGGCTTCTGCGCTCCGGTATCACGACCCGCCCGCGGCTACCGCGTCTCTCGTCCTCAGCCTCGCCGCCCACAATACTCGCCCTACAACAACTTCTTCAGCCAGGTCGATGAGCTCCTGAGCGAGATCGACCGCGAAGCACAACGCGAGGCTCAGCGTAAGGCTCAGATTGAGGCCCACCGAGAGGCACTACGCGAAGCGTACCGCCAGCGACAGCTACAGCGCAAGCGCGCGCTTCGAGCCGACTTCCAAGTCAACCAGATCGAGCAGGGATGGCAGGTCGATGGGGATATCCAGGGCTTCGAGCAGGACAACATCAACATTGAGATCATCGACGAGCACACACTGAGGATCGCTGGAAACACCCAGTGGCAGTCGGAGAAGTCGCAAGCTCAGCCACAACAACCTCAGATCGAAGCCCAGCCCACACCCGCTCCCCAGGACAAGCAACCCACCGTCACACACTCGGAACCAGAAGTCGAGACCACCACTGAGACGGAGGCACCTACCACTCGCGCCGCTACACCTGACAGCGACACCTCATCACATAAGTCATACCAGCCCACTGTCGAGGACGACTTCGAAGACCTCGCCGCTGACTTCCCATCTTCGCGGCCATCATCTCCCACCGAGCCACGCGAACCCAAGGGCAAGGAGAAGGCCGTCGATGAGCCTAAGAACACCGAGACCGCTGTGGTAACCCAGCCACAACCCGAGGTACCGGTCCAGCAACCTCAGCAACAACCCCAAGAGCAGCCTCAGCAACAAGAACGCGTCCACGGATCCTTCGAGCGCACTTTCAGGTTCCCAGAACGCATCGATGTCGCGAATGTGAGCGCTAGCTTCAAGGACGGTGCGCTCAAGGTGACTGTGCCTAGGGCGCAGGTGATGCAGGTTAGGAGGATTGCTATCTTATAAGTGGAGGAGATGGTATGAGTGAGGAGCAGTAATGGCATATATTGGCATGATCGCAAGGGTTGAAGATATGGATAGCATATGCAAGGAATAGGAACGGTTTTGAGATACTCGCACACGATGGTTAGACATCGGTTATGAATCAATGATTGTTTAATCCAAACTTCTCTCCCATATCTCTCATCCTTCTTCTGTTGTACACTCGTGCCTTTGACTTCATCCGCCACCCCCCTTCATCCCAGCCTCCCGTTGTGCATGTTGAACTGTCCTACAACATCAAAGCAACAATCCCCAAAGCAGCAACCACAACACCTCCAGCTTCTCCAGCGCCGATAGAAACAGCTCCGCCCGTGGCAGTGGATGTTGCCTGCGTCTCTGTGCCGGTGGTCTTCGCCTCGGTCTTGGTGGACTCGGATGATGCTGACGCTGACATGGATGATGCCATGGAAGAGGCGATGGATGCGGCGGCGGAGGTTGCGGAGGCGACGGGGTTGCTGGGGGTGGGGTGTTAGTGATGGTTCAGTATGTTCAGAGCATGAGGAAGGATGTTGGCAGTGTGTTG